TTGTTCGTAACTATAATTACCGGGTTGTAATTGAAATGACCTGAGGCTTAAACGATGTAAACAAAAATAACATATGTGATGGCGCGTTTGTGTTTTGTTAGGGAAGTATTTTAAGAGTGAGATGGTACGTGGTGATTTTTTTAAGTTGTATTTGAAGGTTATTAAAGGAGAAGGGAGATATTAAGGTGTGATAAACTGTGGTTGTGGGTGATTAGTATAAGGAAATTTTAGGCTAGAGACTAACTACTGGGTTCTGGGGTGGGGGGCGGAATGGTGGGGGGTTAGTTTTAAGACTAACAACCAACTTCTTCATAATATTGTCATGGGAATATTTTTTTTTCGGTTTTGACTTTAGTGTTAAGTTGTATCTTGGGAGGAGTTAAGATAATGGTGAGTGTATTACTGAGGCCTAAGATGGGAGGAAGTTAGCTTTAGGTGACACTGATGTGTGGGGGATGTGTAGGTTAAGAGGAGAGTCTGACGCTTTAGCTGACGTTCATTAAGGCTCGTCTTCGTGGGTACGAGGATGAACCTTACGGGACTGTTATCAAAGGGAGACGTTTATCCGAGAAGACTATACACATTCTCCACTGTTGAATACTGATATAGATATATGTGTATATATTAATATATATTTCAGAAAACAAAAAATGGAACAAAAAAAATATATATTTTGTGATTTTCGCCATATGTTTTGCCATTGTAACGCACAATGTGGAAAAATGGATTTTTTTTCTTTTATGTTTCAGTGACGAAATGTTGTTGCTTTGCTGGTGTGAATTATTTTACGAAGTGAAATGTGAAATATACACACATACACATACATACACGCACATACACACGCACGATCGCGCGCAAGAACATACATACACACACAGAGGACAAAAAAGACGGACATGCAGTGATACACACGCACACACCTACACATTCATGCAAGCACCTTAAAAAATCATGTTTTTCATATCCTAAAATACTAAAGAAAATTAAAATACTTTCTTTTGAAAAGTTTTATGCCACAACTTAAGTATTTTAACTTTTCTATAATTAAGATTACCACAAGTTAAATAATAACAATTACAGGTTACCATAGACATCTAATTCATCTGCTCTTATTGAGGATAATTTTATGTTTTTTATATTATCATTGTCATTATTACTACCAAAGCGTTAAAGATAAAAAAGTGAACAAATTAGATACAGAAGATTTTCTATAAACCTCCATAGAGTGAACGAGCTATAAGGGTAGTTAGGGGAGATGGTGGGGGCACTATGATAAACTCTATGGTAAATAATAAGGGACTGAACCATGATAAACACTATGGTGGTAAATAATAAGGGACTGAACCATGATAAACACTATGGTGGTAAATAATAAGGGACTGAACCATGATAAACACTATGGTGGTAAATAATAAGGGACTGAACCATGATAAACAAGAAAAGGTTCACTATTGGTTATATTAACAAAAAGTGATGTTGAGGATTATTTCTGTATTAAAAAAAATAAAGTAATGGTTCTCTGAAAAAGTAAAGTAAATATTGATTGGGTCTTAAGATAAATAATTGTAAAAAAACCAAAAACAAACGTAGGTTATTAGGACAAACAAATCGTAATAAGGGTTTAAAAGGCTCACGAAACACAAAACTCAATATTATGAAAACGAAAGTGATAAGAAAACAGAAAGAAATGCTGATGATTTATTTTTTTTTATTTTGTATTAATAATTCACTGTTTATAGAGCATGTGGGGATAAGGATTAGATTAAGGTTAAGAAAAATGCTGGGCACAGCTTTATGGAGTTTTATCAGTATTAAAACGTGCCTTCACACCTTTTTGATCGAGGCTGTATGGTGAGAGTCACAAAAAATCATGTAGTAAAGTGATATTTTTTAAGGACTAGATTATATAAGGACTACAAGTAATAAACAGCCCTGGGGTTGTAGAGTCAATTCTTGTATAGAGGTCTTGATTGACTTCCGCCAGTAGAGAGTTATTAAGTGGCACACATACACACAGGGTGGTCTCCGAGAAATGATACCGAGATACGATCCTCTTCCCGTAGTTTTCTTTCCACTTTTTTTCTAGGGACCAGCCTGTACCTACGTATATGATGAAGCCATTTATAAAAAAAATACAAGGACAAAAAAAAAGAACAAGAGTGAGATAGGGTAGTTAAACCTCCCTGAAGGTAGAATGTAAATTGAACATCTTTTGCGATAGTCTAGTGTAAGAACAAAAACTATGACAGGAGGAACACTCTATAACCCCAGTCGCGGAAATATATCTTAAGTCTGTAAGTGTAAGTTAACTGCTAAGGTCTTTTCTTAGCTCTATAGGTTAGCGTTACGGCCAACAACTTGGGCTCTGTCGTCGATAGATGAATTACCTCTAAATCTTCGTTAAGCTAAGTCAACCTCAGTTTATGAATAAGATTTTACCAGAAGTTAGTCCATGGTGTTAGGAAGACCTGAGTCGAGTCCCACAGATACTCTCAAGCTTTTAACAAGAGTTCCTCGAGACACTCTTGAATGTTACACTCAATCGAAACATTCACCGCAGGCTGAGGCACTTAGGATCATTTTTGGGATAGGTTACAGTTCTACTTATATCTGCGGTCGTGTTAGTCGTGAGTAAGTCTTGACGGAGCAAAAGTGTAAAAGATCAAGAGGTTATGTGCAAATTATCCAACTCAGAGGTCAATATCACATTGTTTCAGGATTTGTCTTGGGTGTCTCAGCTGGCGTGAAGGGATGGGGAGGGAGCTGACAAGGCTTACCTATCGAGCCTTCCCGAGTGTTTCAATTGGAATGGGAGCATGTCGAGTGTGTTTCAATATAATGTGGGTGGTTACCGAGTGACGTAAGTGGTTGCTGAGTGCCTCGAGGACCTTCCCACCCATGAGTGTCAGTGGAACTCGTCTGAATTGACGACCAAACGCACATTCTGAAGCGCAACAAACAAGCGTCCTCGCACAAAGTCTTATGACGGAGGTAGCATGGCCTGCAACCATAACTAGCGAAATTAGTGCCACAAATTTGATTATTTTTGTGTTTTTTTTTCTCATACTAGATGTAACGATTCTAGAAAGCTCGTGTGATGATTATCTGCTCTTTTTCCCCTGCGCAGTATACTAGCCACCTTCCAGAACACCCAAAAAGGGTTCATATTTCTCTTTTTTTTATTAATAACATTAAGGAGCTCAAGGAGTCATATCTTCGACTTTTCTCTCCCTCTGGTCAACGAGCTTCTAGATACGTCGCTCTAGATTTGTTGTTATCGTGTTTTTCAACGTAGGTATATGGAGGTGAAGGTGGGGGGAGCCAAACGCCACCAAGACCCCCGTCCCTCTGTCGCAACACTCACAGGGACGGAAGCCTTGTGGTCGCGTGGGTAAACTCCCGCCAGCCTCAACAAATTGCAAAACTTTTAAGTCACTCTCGTAGATAGTAGGTGCTAATAGGTTTATTATTGTAACTTTTTATTTTTCTCCTTGTATGCGGGGTGCGTCTTCGTAAGTGGATAACGGGGAAGTTGGGATACTGAACTTACTCTTTCGGGCAGTAGTGATTTTGTCTCAAGGACCATGAGGAAGCCAACAGCTATACGCAGGAAAACCGGAAGAAAAAATTTAACTTGTACAAAACGGAAAACTACGCAGAACAATGACGAGGAGGAAATTATAGCCCAGACGAAACATATCAAGGTGATTGTTATCTTCTTATTTCTAGTCAATGATTTGTGCTGTAGAAGAAAGTTAATTACAACAACAAAAGATCATCAGAAGAGGAAGGTTAGAAACATTTACAATTATACACAATGAAAGTTGATAAACAAAAGGAAAGTGTCAACAGAAACATCTCGGAAGGTACAATGAATGTAATATATTCACGGGTTGAAGTATACAGTTTGATGAAGAGAAGGAGAAGGAGAAGGAGAAGGAGAGAGAGAGAGAGAAAGAGACAGAGTGAGGTTGGAATTTCAAACTGTGTATATTGTGAGTGTTTTCGTGGCTGTGAGTGACTGTACCCGAGCAGGTGATCGCCTATCTTCTATGCCGAAGAAGTGGACTTGGACACAGTGTTTGAGACAAGACTTAAGTTGGATCTTTGACTTAACCGCTTGACATCTTAGTTAAGGTAAAAATCCTAAATGCGGATTGGCTAGTTCACTAGTAGGGAAACAGCCAATCATTTATCGGGATTTTTTTTATATTTGTCGAAGTGTTAAGTGAATCATCTGTAGTTCTCGCCAAACACTTGTGGATGCAAGTCCTGTATAAGTATTATTGTAGTCTTATATTAGCTGTTTAACAAAATAAAAATAAACGGCGTAGTAAGCAATAACCCAAGTCGAATGCGAAGAAAATAGGTTTATTTTTGAAGTAAAATTAACCTCTTTTTTTTTAAAGGCATTGAGACTCACAAACGCTTGCTTACCCCGCCCATTTCAAAACAAAAATAGGTAGCATAATGTAATGGCTCGTTCCTCATTTCACTTTACGTAGCTTTTAAGCATTTTTGTATTAAATCTTTTTTTAGCTTTAATGGAGCGGCTTTACATCTACTGTATGCTTCTCACTTTTTTCACCTTCAGTTTAATTAATACTTTAGCTTTAAGGCTGGGGCCCCTTATTTTAGGAATATTATTTTAGTAGTTTTTAAGGAGTCCAAGTAGATGTCGCCACCTTCCAGTGTAAACAAACAACACTACTGTTAGCCCACCGACTACCGCGCCCCCTCCCTAACCCTATCCCTCTACCATCACGCCCTCATCCCATTTGCCTGCCCACCGCTACAATACCCTGCCCCCCCCCCCCACACACACACATCATGTAGGATATCTTGTGTGTGTGTGTGTGTGTGTGTGTTTCTCCTACGACTGACGTAAGTGTTTGTTTCACCACCATTTATCATCAATATTCTGGCGCCCTGAATCGTAGGTAGAGTAGAAAATTATCAACTATAGTGGAATTTTTGTCTTTTGGGGATTTAGTTTTCCATTTCTTTTCGTTGTTTGTTCCCTTCGCCGACGTTATACACACACGTATGTATCACCTACTGTGTATGTGTGTGTATATATGTGTTGGCATTTCTATATTACTGACATCACTTTATTGGTACTGTTGTAGTGTATACCATTATGATATAGTCTCAATTTGTTTTTATATACATTGTCATTTTTCATTGTTTTAAAGGTAAATACTTCTCCTGCCTTAATTGGTGGCCATATCTGATTATATACCCTGGAAGGTGGGGCTGCCGAGGGGCTGGATTTATGTTTTTAATCTAAGGTGTTCTAATTAACCTGAGAGAGATTGGGGCAATTTAACAAACAAATCCCATTAGCCTATTTATCCAACTTTCCAATAACCTATTTACCCGACCTTCCATTAGCCTATATACCCCACCTACCATTTTCCCATTTACCTGACCTTCCATTAACCTATTTACCCGACCTTACATTAGCCTATTTACCAGATCTCCCATTTTCCCAACCATCCATTAACCTATTTACCCAACCTCCCATTAGACCTATTTACCCCACCTACCAATTTCCCAACCTTCCATTAGCCTATTTACCCGACCTCCCATTTTCCCAACCTTCCATTAACTTATTTACCCAACCTTCCATTAACCTATTTACCCAACCTCCCATTAGACCTATTTACCCCACCTACCAATTTCCCAAACCTTCCATTTTCCCATTTACCCAACCTCCCATTAGCTTGTTTACTCATATGTTTAAAAAAACTCAAACTTAGCTGCTGTTTAGACGATAATTATGAAAGTAATGTAATTTTTTTTTTGTATTTGTTGTTGTCTTGAGGATAAGTTGGTTGTGTTAGGTGTTTGGTATTTCAAGTATTACGATGGTGAATGTAAGCGAGGACTAGCGAGTAATTTCTGATTTTCTTCTTTTTTCTTTTATTTTTTGATGTTTAAGCGGCGTTTAGTACTTCTTTTGTTTGTTTTGTAAATGCTATATGAAGGGTTGGCTTATAGTATTATTAAATTGATAGTGAAAAGTTTGCGCTGTTGAAATATTTAAAAAAAATAAAAAATAATAATGGATTGATTTTTTTTTGTAAATGACTAATCTGAAGAATTTAGGTAAAAGTAACGGCAACGGATGATGAAAGTATTATTTTTTGTTTTTTGATACTTTTTTTGATAGAAGCCAAAGAAGAGAAGTATGGATGGACTTTTGTATCTCCTTTTTTTTATAATGGTAGTTTTGGTTGTACTATCGGTGTGAGTTATGAACTAATAATAATGATAAGGAGAGAGTGTGTGTGCCCATGACTGTATGACAAACCTTCGTAATAATACCAAAGACCAATTAATACATCATACCGTGCCGATACTTAAAAAAAAAAATTGATATTTAAAAAAGAATAAAAATCTTCAGAGAAAAGGCGCCCATATCACTGTTCACTTTTATTAAAACAGGGTATATATTTAATCCTTTTTTTTAAGCTCAAGTTTATCAAATTGTGAATGTTTTTGCTGTTTTTTATTGAGGGGTAAAAGGATGGGATTTAGGTTAGTACAAGAAACGTATTAAAACAAAGAGGATTGAGAAAGTTAGTAAGGCAGTTTAAGACCTCGAATGATACCGTTATATTGATCTCGTTCTTTGATTACGTAGTCAAGACCGGCAAGAAACATCTCAACGACAATAGTGGGCGACGACCGACAATGGTGCCAGGCTGTTCAGACCGCCATGACTTGTGAAAATCTCGGACCAGAACTATGGTTTTGTTATCCCGTGGAGAGAAATGGCGTGAGGCTTGTTTACGTCGTTTGTGTGTAGCTGTTGTAGAGTGACTGTCTTGTCTTTTATTGGCATTAGTGTAATCCTGTCTAAAGTGCTTGAACAAATAATCGTTTCCTGTCTAAAGTGCTTGAACAAATAATCGTTTCCTGTCTAAAGTGCTTGAACAAATAATCGTTTCCTGTCTAAAGTGCTTGACTAATTGATTTTTACCTTATATCAACTGTTTAAATATTTCACTTATTAGATTAGGTAGAGTTAATGATAGAGAGGAGGACAAAAAATAAAGACGGATGTAAAGGTTGAAGGGACTGGTTCAGAAGTTACGATTTGTTGCTCAAAATAGCAGAAGAGAAAAGATACCAGACAGAGTTTGTCTCAACATATTGGAGAAGTTTTATGCCAATTTTGTTAATGGTAGACGTCAGTGGGTGATTGATGCAGGCAAGTTGACTACATAAAGACGGAAATAAACATTGAAATAATCGACGGAAATCAACATCATTCACCAATCACAGTGAACTTCAGATAAACACCACCTGAGCTGAGTGGTGCCTGGTGGACGCTGTTAGTAGATCCGGTTTATTTATGACAGCAGACGAAATGAAGCAACATAACTTAATCTTAGCTGACCTGGTTCATGTAATCTTAGCTGACCTGGTTCATGTTGTCTGCTGGCTGATGTAAACAAACATGGCGTCCTCCCTCGCCTAACTCAACTGACGTAGTGTTTTTCTGTCTAATTCACTACATATTAAATAATAAAAAAATCCAGGAAATTAGTTTTCGGCGCCAAAAATTATATCTATTCGTTTGAAACCGATTTTTTGTTTGCAAATCACTGTATTTTAGCCGTCATTATAATGAACAATAAACTATCGTAAAAGAAAACTAAGAAGCTTGTAGAGATACGAATGCCATTAATTTTGGAGACAGATATACCACAGAAATAGTTAAAGGTGTTGATATGGATATTAAACTTTAACAGAAATATTTGAATACAAGAAAGATTAAGAATAACAGTCGGACATGTTTCCATCAATTATACAGTGTGACTAAACATTATATGAGCATATGAATGGTAGAACGACTTATACGATTAGAGAATGACGACTCTATGAATGGCAGTACAGTACGACTTGCAATTAGTAAAGAATGAATGAATTCCATCGATATATTACAAAAAATGGTTTTAGGAAATGATGTGAAGAATGATACAGGAATTATTGATCAGTTTTGCTAGGTATTTTGCCAAGGACTAGAGAGCTAAGTCGTGAATGTTTTGACAGTTTGTTGTATTATCCAGCTGGTGTGTACAGATGCTACCGGAGGAGAGTGAGAACACGGGTTGGTCTTTGTAGTAAACAGAAACTTGGGATGAATGTTAATGTAAAACTTAATGTTAAGAATCTTCCTGAGGATTTGGGAACAGACATGGGCAGGTTGTAAAGTAAGCCATAAGAATTGACAAAAGACATTTTAGTGGATATTATCAGACTTAAAACTGCATCATCCAACTGGCTCACAGACACCCCACAGACATATAACAGCCATGTAGATAATTTAACAGCCATCACGAATAGACCATTGAGCTGTTAAGACATTCCAGAAATCGTCAGACATAAAAAAGACAATGAAACGATCGGGTTGAAGTCAAAGACATAATTTAGACATAAATCACCTAATTGCAGAATGGTAAGCAAAAAATGATTATACCAATTTAGGTTAGAGGGATAGAGAGAAAGACATGATCCAAAGACATGTCAATTGGTATTCTTAATTTAGCCAAGAACATCAAATAGACATACCGATTCAGACCTAAACTAGCCATTTCTAGAGAAACAGTCAGAAATAAACCAGATTATTAGACCTAAACCAGTCATTCTAAAATAATTAACTACTAAAGATAAACCAGACATCAGTCATACATCGGATACACAGGAGACTACAGACTTAAAAAAAAAAGAAAACAGTTGCAGAGAAATATTCAGATACCAAAGATTTAATAGACATAAACCTACAAAATTATCAGACATAACACGAACATTTAGACATATATTAAGGCGAAATCAAAACACTGAGCTAGACATACTTCATACATAACGATGAGTTTGCAGTTCTCATTTAAATAAACAACTGCCATGACTTCACACATAAAACACATCAAGTTTGACTTACACCAGCCATAAGGAGTGTTACATCGTGCTGGGATTCATAATAATTAGACATACACCAGCCATAAGGAGTGTTACATCGTGCTGGGATTCATAATAATTAGACATACACCAGCCATAAGGAGTGTTACATCAGGCTGTGATTCATAATTAGACATACACCAGCCATAAGGAGTGTTACATCGTCCTGGGATTCATAATTAGACATACACCAGCCATAAGGAGTGTTACATCGTGCTGGGATTCATAATCAGACTTACACCAGCCATAAGGAGTGTTACATCGTGCTGGGATTCATAATCAGACTTACACCAGCCATAAGGAGTGTTACATCGTGCTGTGATTCATAATTAGACATACACCAGCCATAAGGAGTGTTACATCGTCCTGGGATTCATAATTAGACATACACCAGCCATAAGGAGTGTTACATCGTGCTGGGATTCATAATTAGACATACACCAGCCATAAGGAGTGTTACATCGTGCTGGGATTCATAATCAGACTTACACCAGCCATAAGGAGTGTTACATCGTGCTGGGATTCATAATCAGACTTACACCAGCCATAAGGAGTGTTACACCGTGCTGGGATTCATAATTATACATACACCAGCCATAAGGAGTGTTACATCGTGCTGGGATTCATAATCAGACTTACACCAGCCATAAGGAGTGTTACATCGTGCTGGTGTTCATAATTAGACATACACCAGCCATAAGTAATGTTACATCGAGCTGGGATTCGTAATTAGACATACACCAGCCATAAGGAGTGTTACATCGAGCTGGTATTTACAATTAGACATAAATCGACCGAATGTCTTAGCCATAGCCATAAGGAGAAATACATAATATGAGTTGGAGGACTTGTTTCAAACAAACCCAAGGAAGAATTTTTTTTACGGTTTACAGATAGCTTTAAGTCATATATATATATATATATATATATATATATATATATATATATATATATATATATATATATATATATATATATATATATATATATATATATATATAAGCCATTTAAAATAAGACTTTGAATTACACCTACTGTATAGACTTATTTTTTGTCCAGACAGACCAAGTGTCTCTAAACAGACTAAAAAACAAAACAGTATCATCTCTTAAGACATAAACCCATTAAAATAAACCAAAATATTGATTGATCTCTAGACAAGTTCAGACATAAACCATAACCCCCCAATTTAGACATATTACTGAGCTATTTAGAATTATCATTGTAATAGTAATGAAGGTTTGACTGTGTTTCCGGTTGTGTTAGGATGAGTGTGTGAGTGCTCAAGGATTTATGCATATTAGAATAAAAAAAAACAGCCGAAGGAAATATACAGAGAAAAAGAGAAATGCCGATAAGAAAATAAGAAAGTATTAAAGAAAATGATAAATTGAAATAAAGAAAACGAGAGGATTATAGCGGAAGAATAAACAACTTGAAATAATAATAAAACGAAAAAGTAAAAAAAAAAAAAAAGTTCTCAATTTCAATGATTTGTAAGTGTGTTAAGTTGATGTGTTTGTGTTGAAAGAAAAGTATTTCGTAGTAATCTTAACAGTTGAATAGTGTGTTAATGGGTTGATGAGTTGATGAATTGAATATGTCTTGAGTTGATGAGTGAAGTAGTCGAGACTGGGAGAAATATGTATATATAGCCATCTTGTAGAGTTGTAGCTTTAGTGTCTTGTAGGAAATTGCGTATTTAGGGTAAAGTTTCTCATTATCACTTGTATGCAAATTAGGGTAAATGTCGTATTGATAATTTGTTGTCATCGTTTGTGAGAAGGTGAACATTGAGGGTAAACAGAGTTGATTAAACGTATTTCAGATTTAGAAAATAATGACGTACTTGAAGCCTGTTGATGCAAAAGCTTCAACTTCAGTTGTTTTTCTTTTTTTTTTTAGTTGTGATCGATTGTTATAGATAACTGATAGAAAAATGAGATATTGACAAGGTTAGGTTAGTAATAGAAATAAGAGGCAAAGGGATATAACAAAATGGTGTTAATGAATAAGACAAATAAGTAATAAAAAAATATACAATTTATATATGATAGAATTTATTCCAATTCTATAGACAAAATCACACAAAGACGTAACCTAAAAGTACAGGATGATTTTTTTATTCAAGAATCCTAAATATTCCCCTTACCCTAAAAACTACATTAGTTAAGGACCCAATATATTGCGTAAATGTAGCCTAATGTTACACAAAGACGTGACGTGATCCCGGAGTTATCAGGTATCACGTTACCCGTCAGTAGCGCTTAACGGTTTTCACCCAGTCACACCATGACTCTCGCTGTGTTTGTGATTGTGTGTAATGTATTGTGAGCGCCATGGCGTGACTGAGTGAAAACCGTTTAACACCACCACTGACGGGTAACACAAAGCACAACCAACAAACACAACACACAACCACAATCCACAAACACAACCCACAAACACAACACAACAAACACAAACGCAGTGAGCGCCATAGCGTGACTGAGTGAAAACCGTTAAGCGTTACTGACGGGTAACATGATACCTGATAACTCCGGGATCACGTCACGTCTTTGTGTAACATTAGGCTACATTTACGCAATATATTGGGTCCTTAACTAATGTAGTTTTTAGGGTAAGGGGAATATTTAGGATTCTTGAATCAAAAAATCACCCTGTATATTAAATGTAACAAAGTGAATTACTTCTCAAGAACGAATGACATCGACAAAGTAACTATGATACAAATGGATTATAGAGTTTAAGGAAGTTAGTTATAACCATCAGGAAAATAGTAAATTATAACAATACTAGATATGTGATACATCAATAAGTATAAAAGGAATGAAACAATTAGGTGAAAATATTATTGATGTGATGGGTATGTTTAAGGGTGTATAAGAAGACTAAAAGGTTAATTGACTTAGTGTGTGTTAATAATCACAATTATTATATATTTAAGAGTTAAACAAGTGACCATGATAATAAAAGTGTTAAAATTCTTGTTAAATCATGACTTCTAATTAAGAATGGTAAATCGTAGAGCATTATTCTGATTAAAAAATAAATAATTCTCAACCTGAAAATATAAAAGTTATCAATCGTTTAATCTTTTACAAAACATTACGGTCATCTCCTTCAAAAACACGAATTATTTTTGCACATCACTGATTATTACACTATCTAATTATTAATGTTTATCATATTTTTATTCTTGCGTATCTTTGTTCTTCTACACCTGTAAATTATTTTCATCTACATAAGAGTCTGGTAAAATAAGATATTTTTTGCTTCACTCTGTTTTCATACCTGGATAAGATCTATCTATATATACACGTGGGTGGTAGTGCCTTGTGTTGCCTTGTTCGACACAAACGCGTGATGCCATCTTCCCCCAGCCAGACCGACCGACCGACCGACCGACCGAATTAAAAGATCAACATTGGTTATGCCACGCCACCACCCCGACAGGGCCAGCATCATAGGCCTTAGGTCCTCTTTCAATAAGTCTTATTGCCTCCATGTCTCTAGGAAAATAAGTCTTTAAGAAACAAAGTCTTAGGCCTATCGGTGCTGGTGAAGCCTTTAGTGTGAATAAAAAAAATGAAATAATACATTGAGAGGAAATTAATAAATACGATTGAACGTATTAGTTCTAGAGCGTAGGATAGAGTCAAATTCAATCTTCTTTTTTTATGAGTTAAAAGCGTAATGCTAATGTTTTTGGATAGATGTTGTGTCGTGTAGCTCACGTGTACATCACAAATAACAGACTGCAACTGGTGAGTGAAAAAGATCAGAGAGAGAGAGAGAGAGAGAGAGAGAGAGAGAGAGAGAGAGAGAGAGAGAGAGATGATGGTGATAGTACAAAGACGCCTCTGTAGGGAGTAACGTGGAGCGGTGTTTAAAGAGAATTCCATCCTGTATGAATTATTAAAACACAATCCCAAATATTGTACAGGCTAGCCAAGCTATCCTGCACTCTAGTCACTTTACTCCTCGGAGATTAGAACCACAACTAAAGATACAAGAAGAGAGAAAGAGAGAGAGGTGTGGAAAGTGGAGAAAGATTCGTAAATGCAAGTGTAAAGAATCAACTGAAAGAAATATTTAAAGTGGTGTTTGTTATAATGTGATGGTACTTAATGGATAATATTCCTACTCGCCAGTTTAATGAGCTTGTGACATTTACACAACATCAGAGGAAAGGTATAAGTCATCATAAACAATGACAGGGTTTACAATGAACAACTTCTCTCTTCATGCCCTCCCGTTGGTCTGGTTGGTGACAGTCTGTGATGGTTGTCAGTCTTCATGTATTTTTGGCTGGTCTTGGTAACTTGTGTTTGGGATTAGTATAAAAGAAATCGAGGAGTGTTGTAGACACTATATAAGCGTAGGTAAAATAAGTCAGAGGAGTCGTATAAAGTGGATGTCACTTAGAATAGTTTACTTATAAAGAAAGAGATTTTTTTACAAGTGAGATAAATTAATAAGGAAATAATAATAGAAGAGTCATCCTTACAAAGTAGACCAATAGAAAAAAAATATATCTTTACATGAATTGAAAATAGGAATATTTGAAGCAATTACACGTATTGGTTAGTGAGGCTCAAACTGCTGTAGGGTAAATACATTCTTTTGAGGTTTGCAGTATACTTTTTTTATGAATGCTATTGTTTTTTGTCTATAATCATATTTTTTATCATTCGTAATATCACTCCCAGGCACTGCTAAGCTTCCCCTCATTAGGAGAATGAGTGAACGAGTATTGTGTGAACGAGTATTGTGATTTTTTTTATAAGAACAGAGCAGGTATAACATTATGTTCAGCTTATCATCTTTAACTTAACGTCTTACTTGAGTGTAGGAGAGTGTTGGTAGGTGGTGAGAAGGTGTACAGTAAGGTAACGCAATTGTGTGAAAGTGGTGCGTCAAGTTCAGTGAAAGTTGTGTTGTGCTTTCCTCCAGTGTCCAAGTTACACAGTTCATTGAAAGCAGCGAGTAAAGGGACCAAATCCAAATTACCTCCTTAGAAAATAAACAGTCAAGTATAAAGGCGAAGAAGGTTAGAGTTTGCTGATATACCCCGTCCCAACCCCTTACTCAACCTAAGATAAATCTACCACTTTTTTAAACCCATTTTTTTCTAATCCGAATTCCCTCTTGATTACTAATGTTGAGAAGTGTTATACCCATTAGTTAGCCCTGAAATTCATCTTTAAATTCAGATTCAAACTCACTTAACCTTGGTGCAGGCAAGAGAAGAAGACCTTTCACCCTTAATTATATCCATTCTTTCCATGCGCTTGAAGAGAAATCTATTCCTTTAACTTCTTTGTTTTTCTTTTCCTACATGTGGTTATGAAGTACCTGAAATTGTCCCCTTTCCTGAAGTCTCGAACATTTTACAGTAGAATAACCCCCATGAGAGAGAGAGAGAGAGAGAGAGAGAGAGAGAGAGAGAGAGAGAGGGGAAAATGACCCACCCTCACTTGGCGTCTTTCAAGGTCACGATATTGATTCTTACCATCAGAGAGGCAGAAGGGGTGGTGGGGGAGGGATGAGAGGGGTGGGGTAGGGAGAGTGGGGAGAGAGTCGGAAAGAGGTGGGAGTAGGAATGTATGGGGGGGCAGAGAGAGGGAAGTTGAAGGGCAACGAGAGAGAGAGAGAGAGAGAGAGAGAGAAAATTGAAGGGCAACGAGAGAGAGAAGTGGGGGGCAGAGATCATAGTCTTTAAAGCTACTTTCTTTCACATATTTTTTTACAATATCTTTTCGTGTAGTTCTGATAACTTAAGGGAGAGATTCGACAGCTGGGTGCTGGTGACGGAGGCGCTGGAGTGGCACCGTGTGTGTGTGTGTGTGTGTGTGTTAGGACTGCCTTGGAGACGGATCTGGAAAGACAAACAATCTGGCTTTTGCTTAAGTGTATATATTTTTTTATTTAAACCATCGACAGAGTTTGATAGGACAGAGAAAGAGGAAGAGGGAGGATTACGGTTAGCAAATTTATTGACAAACCTTGGAGTACAATTTGTCTATTCTGAGTAATTCTGTCAGGTCTTGACACTGAGGGTGGTATCACTTCACACTGCCACGCAGGACAGAGGTTCATACACAAAGAAATAGATCATATTCACTAACAGTATATATAGGCTCGGGTCATGTGGGTGATATCACTGTTCACTGCCATGCAGGACAGTGGTTCATATATAGTATAAGTCACATTCTATTTGAGGACTAATCTGTGTGGGCTAGCAAATTTTGGATAAACAGCAAGGATGTCCTCAAGCACCCCCGATTCAATGTAGTAAGTACATAGTTCATGATACAATAAGCCAAGTGGCCTGAAGTCTTTGACAGCGTTACATTCAATAATATAGTGTTCAAGTGTATGCTTTAAGGGTTTATCACAAAGTTTACATGCTGAGTGTTCCGGTATGGGTACAGTGGAGAGAGTGAGAGTGAGAGAAAGTAAGAATAGCGTATCCTATTGCTTATGTTATCGATAGATATGTTTAGATATAAAGCCTAAAAAATGAGACAGGACGATTAAAATTCCATAATATTGTTACTAGTAATTATGTTTTTATAGACAATGAGGGAAGTAAGGGAGAAAATTCAATTAGGAAAAAGTAATAATTTATTAAAGAAGTTTTAGATAAATTGTAGAACGAAAAGAAAAAGACAACGTAGTAAAAATATATCGTATACGACCAATGATCATCGACTGACCAAAACAACCAACCAATCGGAAGGCAGAAGTTCTTAACATTCCGTGCTAGATCGTAATGTTGATAACAGGACATTAATTTTCATGTTTAACACACACACATATGTTAAACTTTTGACTGTGAGAACCGAGCAGTACAGGAGAGAAGTGACACAACAGTAGTGTGGGAGAGGTACACCAACTACTGACTGTACTGTGTGTGTTCCATTGCCACTGTTGGTTCACCTTTAAGAGCTGTGCTTCCACTGTTGCCAGACCCCTGCGGCACAAACCCCCACCTCCACCACCTCCACCAACTTCCTCCTTCCACTTCCTCCTCCTGTCTTTTCCTCCTTTACCTCATCATCTTCCTCCTCCTCCTCTCAAAAGATCCTTCCCTACCACTCACCCATCACTCGCGTCATACCCTGGAACGTAACCTTAAGTAACATATGATAACGTGTTTCACTTTATAAGAATACTATAGTAAGATCAATATTATTCTCTAAGCCTAATACAAACTTAGAAATGCTAGAGGTAAACAAACCAAGGATAAGGGGTAGTTCCAGAGGAGGGAGGAGGAGGAGGAGGAGGGGGGGGGTATCTGCCCAATCTGGCTACACCGGCTAGATTCCAACAGAGGATGTCTTTGTTCTATAACTGGAAAGACAAGTTGCCATGTATAGCATTTTTTCTACACATACATACACACATATACATGCATAAATACACGCACACCCACATATACAAACACACATACACACACACAAACACACATACACACACACAAACACACATACAACACATAACATACA